ATCTATTCTTTGAAGCAGAGTGTTTATACATCCTATTTGTTCTATTCAGCTGTTTTGTAATTGCTTCTTTATGTTCATTTTTTCTCAATGTGTTTCTAGAATGATGTATGTACATAATAGACTTGGTTAAAATCTTATTTCTTCACATGAGAAGTAGTATTTACTGAAAGCCATCTTGAACATTTTAGTTGATAATCACATTAGATAAATCACTCAGGAAGGCAATAATGCCAGGCAATGCCACATTTGTGCGGTTTGGCTTTTTTACATTGATAGTTGACATCTGAATGTTTTATTTCCTTTTATTGTGCTGTGATACAGTTGGCAATTCATATCCAGTTCATCACTGTGTCATAACTGGCACTTTTGTATCCAGTTCATGATGGGATGCTTCCATATCATGTGAAAAAGGAAGTTTTAAAAAAGAAGCATTATATGTATTGAATCAATTTCCACCAGACAAAGCTGTAGTTTAATAAAAATAAAGTGTTGGTAGATTCCTCATACTCACAGAATAACCTGCTGGTTAATTCAATTTTAATTCTTTAAGCTACTACCATTGTAGAGTGATCTAATTAGGTGAACAGTTCATGTTAAAAAAAGACAGACACTTACTGTAAAATTCACAGTGATGTTTATCTCCGTCTTTTAAAATCTGCAGCAGGTTAGGTGTCATTACAGAAGTTAGATGACAGAACTTATAATTAGTCTTGGCAGTCCTTAGAATTTTGTTTTGCTTTTCATATCTCAGTTACTTAAGATCATAAAGCAAAATGATGCTATAAACTTTAAATCAATATTTTCAGGCAAAGGTTTTTTTTTCCCTTTTCTGCCTCCTTGAGGTACTAGAGCACAAATAGCACCAGGCTGTTGATGGGGACTGTCTAGACTCATGTCCCTGCACCAGGGGTGAAGTTTCAGCCCTGCAGAACAAGGGTCTGTTCCTAGTGGTTATTTCTTGGCCACTTGAGCTTTATTTCCTGCGCACCAGCACATCTGAGCCTTGGAACTGCATGGGAAGGGTAAAACCTGATCATTAGGAGAAAGATAAGCAGATTCCCAATCCTGGGCTGGAGAAGGCTGGAAGGTGCAAGGTTGATGTTGCAACCCTTTATGTGCTGGATCCCACTGCTTTGTTCAGCTGCTGCGATGCTGCTGCTTAGTTGCCACCTTTAAAATCCTGGGAAGAACAAGATCATTGGAAGGGACCACTGATCTTTCTGGGCATCCAGGCAAAGCTTCAGGTTGCGTTTGGAAAATTACAACAGCTTGGCATTTCTATGTGGGCCTACAGAGTTTAAAGTTTCTCTTTTCAGGAAAGGATCTGTGGAGGATTTACTGCTTTTTTGTTTGTTTGTTTTTGGTTTTTTTTTAATTTCCCTATAAATTTTAAGGAAATATGGAAAAAGCTTTGTACAAATGATCTGTCAGAAGAAAGAGCAAAGATACTTTTAAAATAATGTTTAGAGTAAGACTTTTGCTACTGCACTTCAGTCTTTCTGAATGACTTTTAAAGTATTGTGAGTGAACTTACTGTATTCCCAAAATTAAAATAGATAGCTGACATTTTGATATATTGCAAGTCGTGCTTGATTTTTTTCTAGAAATCATCATGCAGATTGTGTGTGTCATGCCTATTTTCTGAATTATTCTTGACATTTTTTGACCTGCACTGGGACAGCAGGCTTTTATTATGTGAGATTTGTTAGAACCATAGTGGTAACTTTATTTTTATTTCCAATTCAACGATACAAATGCCATTTCCAACATTTCTTAATATCCCAGTATTTTAAAGATGCTCAGCAAGTGCATATACCTTATCCCATACACCATCATTCCTCATGTCTTTATTTTTAATGTCACCTTCTAGCCTTACTCATATGGAGCTTGTAATTGGTTCAGTCACGTGGGCCCTCATTGACAGAAGTCCTGCCTTCAGAGCTTTGTGCTGAGCAAGATGTTGTGCTCTGGGTGAGCATCTGCACTTGCACATTGTTAAAATACCAAGCCTGTGGCACCTTGGGCTTGGTCTTTCTGTGGGAAGCTCTTTGCTTGGAGATTCACTTTTTACACCTGCTTGTGTTGAGTTTTTGATATTTTTGGGATCTCCATTGGATCACTAAGATCTGCCCTTCCCCAGTTTTCTAGAATTCATGTCTGACAAATTCACCCTTGCATAGGGCTTTGGTTCTGATTTTAACTACTCCATTTTCCTATTAATAATATTTTAATGATTAATTTTATTCCTTGTGCTGCATATTGTTCAGAATCAGCTGAGGTACATCAAGGCTTTGTTTCACTCAGTGTGAGTTCTACACCATCAACATTTCGTGGACTTGATGCTAGTTTGGACCATTCACTTAAGAATTGGACTCCAAGATCCTTGTGTGTTCCTTCCAACTCAGAACATTCTGTGATTCTGTGGAACTCTGCATGACAAAAGCCTGTTTTTAATCATTCCAAGTAACATCTGCCAGAGTTGTCAAAAACAATGCCTTTCTTTGGGAATTATTGCTATTATAAAATAGATTTCATATTGCTATTACAAAGCTTCAGTCTATGAAAAATATTTACAGGTTAAGTGAATATAGGAAGAAAAGATTTAATCAGGATAATTCTAATTTTAAATACCTAATTTTTGTAAGTATTTTGCTTTTTCTTCATTTTATTCCTGATTTTTTCAAGTGCTAATTCATCCATGAAGGAAGACGCTTCAACATGTGCCAATTACACTGACAGTTTCTGCACTTCAGTTTCTAGTTGGAAATTAAATTATGTTTATTAACATTCCCAATTTTATATAGAATCATTGAATCATTCAGGTTGGAAAACACCTCTAAGATCATCACATCCAGCTGTTCCCCCAGCACTGCCAAGTCCATCATTACCCCATGTCCCCAAGTGCCATGTGCACACAACTTTTAAATCCATCCAGGGGTGGGGAGTCCTCTTCTTCCCTTGGCAGCTGTGCCAGGACTTAACAACCCTTTTGGTGAAGCAATCATTCTTGATATCCAATCTAAATCTTCCTTGGGACAACTTGAGGCCATTTCCCCTCCTTCTCTTAATGGGGAGACCTGGCTGCACCCTCCTTGCAGTTAATTGGGGAGGGTGAGAAGGTCCTTCCTGAGCCTCTTTTTCTGCAGGCTGGGCTCCCCCAGCTCCCTCAGCTGCTTCTGGTGCTCCAGCTCCTCCCCAGCTCTGCTCCTTTCTCTGGACATGATCCAGAACCCCCATGTCCAGTTGTGGCCATGAAAGGCCCAGAACTGGACACAGGACTCCAGGTGTAGCCTCAGCAGTGCCTGGGACAGGGGGACAATCAGTGCCCTGGTCCTGCTGGCCATGCTGTTCCTAAGAAAATTTTCAGGTGCCTTCCAAGGAGGGAAGATAGGTTTACAGAAAAGTAGAAAAGCAAATATAATTTAATATAGTTAAGTAACATTCTAGCTAGCAATAAAAGCAGGTAACACCTCAGACATCTGTCACTGGAAATACATCTTGTTTCCACTGATGCACAAAAACAAGTGTATTTCTTAAGTATAAGATTAAAATAAAATATAATGTCCTTTATATTTCAGCTGCTGAGCAGTTTGAAGGATCTGCTTTTCAGATCTGAGCTTTAGATACACACTAATACTGTGTAGCACACATTTTAGCTACTCACTCAGCTTTATCTTGAAGCAGCTCAAATTCTCAGTGGGCTTTTGTCTAATACAGGGATGGAACACACAGTTCTTTGTGCACCCAAAGTGATACGTATGGCTTCAAGCAGTTAAAAACATGAGAGGCATTTTTGCAGTGGTACTTTAATTTCAAACAATACATTAGATGTAACTGTAATTTTTGGTAACCATCTGGTTGATATTTTTTAAAGGTGAAAAAAAAGTGTGAATTGGCAGACGAGATATATCAGTACCTCTGAGCAGCTGTACTGTGTTGCAAAATACAAGGTAACTGGATACTAGGAAAAAGGAAAATAAAAGAAAGCACATGTTCTGACCCATCAGGAAGCAACAGAAAAAGTGAGTGAGGAATTCAATGTAGGAATATATTAAAAAAGTGTTTAAATTTGTACTATATCAAACTGCCACCATATGTTCCATAATGAGGTAAAACAAAATGGGTAATGGATCTGTTAACGAGTCTGTCAAGCCATAGGACCCTTTGGATATGTCAGTAATTAACAAATAACATCTGCTGTCAACTGCTGTACTTAATCAGCATGGGGAAGGTTCTCCTCCCTGTGTGACAGAGGGTACACTATGATACTCTGCTTTTCCTTAGGGATTGAAAATGTCTTTGACCACACTGCTGTATGCAGAACTCCTGCTGAGATGTAATTAATGGGAAATCTGGACATGCAGAAACAGCAGAACACAGCTAGACTGGCACTATCACTGCAGACTAAGAGCTTTGACTACCTTTGATAATTTTTCTGTCAGATAATTCCTGACGGCTGTAATGCCCTACTGTGTTTACAGACTGCACCTTCAGAGTGGCTGATATGCAGAGATATACAGAGAGACTAGTGATAACCCACTACCTCATTTAAAGATGCACAACAGGTATGTTCTTGTTTTTGCTGATAACAGGGACAGGAAAATGTGCTGAGGCTTGTTAATGGACTCCTTGGTTAGAGAGAAACTGTCAAGTGCAATGCACCAATGCACCTTGAGAACCACCACCAACATAAGGGAAATTAAAAGATCCTGAAGGTCTCAAAAGAAGTGAGTTTCAAAACTTCTGAGTTGTAGCAGTAGTGGAACTCTGCAGGAGTTGATCTATTTATCCTACCCATTTCTGAATCCATCCTGTCCTGAGAATTCACAGGGTTCCTCCAGACCAGAGGAATATTGGATGCTCTGAATTAACTCTGTGCCCTTTAAGTGCAGCTGGTACAGAGAAACAGGGATTTGCAAAGCAAAGAGCTGACCTTTCATTCATATCCACATGTTCAAAAACAGATTTAAATACAAATCTTAGAAATCTTGTGCCAGAAGAACAGTTTGAAATAATGAGATTTTCCTTTAATCTTCATCACGGTTCATTACACAGATAATATATTATTCATCACATAGATAATGAATATCTAATTAGCTAAGATAACACTCAAAACTATCTAATAAAAAGTACTTAAGTTGGTAAATAATTTTTGTAAATTTAAGTAAATTTGCTTAATCACAACTGGTTGCTGATGCAGGTGTTACTATGCTCATGTAATGTGAGTTTTAAGCATCCCCTCTGCTCTGATCATACTGGTCTGGGTTGCACAGAATAACTCAGCTTCTGTGATTATCCCTTTACTCTCCCATGAATTGTGATAACAAAATACCAATTTTAAATAATAACTGTTTTAACTAAGACAATGCAGTATCAAGTTAATCATGGGGCTGGACAATGTGCACAGTCCCATTGTGAGGAGCAGTGTTCCTCTGTCCCTGATGGTTCTGCTTTGCCAACACAGGCAGTCATCTCCCTTCTGTGTCCCATTCAGGTGGGTTAGCAAACATATAAACACCTCTCTTCTTAACCCACCATTAAGAGTAAGCTAAGGCTGAGAATCCTCACTCCAGTTTGGCCTTGCACATGGACTGTTCTGATACCATTTAAAGAACAGAGACCCCTTATGAGTTGCACTTCAGTTGCTCAAAAAGAAGGCACCTAAAATACGAAAAATTCTGTTTGACCTGACAATGTAGTTCTATTTAAGAAACAGAAAGTGTGCTGGATAATGTATGCAGACACCTCTGTCATGAAGTCTCATGGGGTTTCACACCCAATTATCTGTGACCACCTCTGGTTACCATAGCAATTCTCTCTTAATTAGAAATTCATCCTCTGCTCATGGCCTATCTGTGCTAAAGCATGAAATTCTGTTACACACTTGGGCATTTTATTTATTTGTTTATACACTGACTGTAATTTACTGTGTCAAATGACATCCATATCCAGTAGTGCGCTGGATTTTTGACTCCAACATTGATTAGAATTGTAATTCTTCAGTGTGTCCTTGAGCCACTTTCAGTCTGTGTATAAGGGGCAGGCCACCAGGAGAGAGGGCAGTGATGTTGGAGGTGTTAATACATGAAATAATATAGTCAGTAAGGTGGAAGCAGCTCTTTGACTGCTCCTTAAGAGGAAGAACTCTGTGAAACCTTCCACCTGTACTCAGGCTCAAGTTAGTTTTATAGCATTTGCAAAAGGAATGGGTCTCTGCCCATATAGAAGTATTTGATAATGTGTGAAGTTGTCCATAAGGTGGACAAAAACCACCACAGGATGTTTTCATGACAGATATAAGAGATTTACTCCTTCTCTTAGAAAAAATAAGATGAGAGGAATGAGAATACCTTACATGCACTGTAAGAAGGCAGTTCTAAAAGTTGGTCATGATACCAATGCTTGGGATACAAGCTCAAAAGCAAACAGCATGATCCTAAACATTCCTTCCTGTACTCCTGGGGAAAGCAGAGACTCACAATTCTTGGAGTTCAGACCAAAACTGTGGTATCAAAAATCTCTGTGGTTTCTGATTTAAGTATAGAATCTCAAAGTACAAACACCTCTAAGATCAGCCAAATCCCCATACAAAATGCTACAGCATGGATCAGTTCTTTTGAGGGAACAGGACAAGAATAGAACATGATTCAGAAATGTACTCAGATAGTGCATTTATAACACCAATTTAAGAACTTCCTAAACAGAATAGAATAGAAAAGACAAACTCATACATTGCAAGGTCCAGAGAGATTGTTTTTGAATGTTTGATCCACTTGTTGCAACATCTGAGGGCTACAGGCTTTTGCTCTTCAGTCTGGAGTTCTGGGGCTGCAAGAAGTTTAGGACTGTGCTTTGATATGAGAGAACTGAGAGAAAGAATATGAAACATTCAGCTTAAAACAGGTTACCCCATCTGCTATCTCTCACAACGACCTCTACTGCAGGCCCTGATGTACAATGAGAGGGGCTTTAGCATTTATGTAAACTCATCGGCCAGGTTGGAAGGCAATGCCCTCCATTCTCCCAATGTGGAGAAATTGTCATTTACTGTGTGCTATGAAGCTCATATAGATTCTGTTATATCTTAATATGTAACATGCTGAAGAGGCCAAGCAAAAGCAGTCTTACCTTCTGCCATATATTGCACCATGTCTCCAGTTTCTCATGTAATACAGAGTTTTGGTTATTGCTCAGAAATTGCCACTGTTACATAGGAGCAGGACCAGACAAAAAACAGCAGGAGAAATCCAAACCAATTTCAGCTTTGTGGCCATGATGTGGACACGAGATGTCAGCCAGGTGACAGCTGAGCTCTGTCAACTTTTACTTTGTTATTTAGTGCTTCTCCCAGCTTATTCAAATACTGGATTCAGAACTAAAATGCAGTTGTTATTTTCTCTGAACATGCCTGGCATAGAAAGAAATGGTGTTTTTAATTTAATCAGTCTGAAAACATTCTTTAATTGATTAATAAACAGTTCTTAAGAAGCACAAGTAACTTGGGCAATTGGCATGTATCTTTAATTACAATTTTAGCCATAATAATTATTCTTGAGTCAGCTGTACAGCATTATTACCATAAGCAAACCTTCTTATTTTAAAATCTAATGTCACAATGCAATTGATTAAGGTAAAATGGGATTATGCAGCAGTAAAGGCTTCAGAAACTGCTCAGGGGAGCAGTCAGCATGTATACATATACGTTTGCCAACATTCTCAGTATAAACTAAATGACTCGTTATATGGTATCTTTGTTGTGCCTGGATTCTGATTTTCTATGAGTCATCCTTTGATTTACCAAAATAGAATAAGATGAGTAAGAGAGTCAATTTATAGGGAAAAAAGTCTGCAAGCTGCGTAAGGTCCAACACAGTTACAGATTTTTCAACTTCTCTGTGCTCTTTATTGGCTCTGAACTTCACACCAGAACTCTCCTGCCATTGAATATCTTCTGCAAGGAGGAATTCTGTGAAAAACTTCATGAAGAACCATGGTCAGTCTTTATTACTGCACAGACCATAACAGTTTTCTTTCTGACTAACCTTTTCTATTGAATTTGGATTCCTCTGTAGCTGCAAAATTTCATCACATGTAACACTGTAAAGGCACATAGCACATCTATGTGATGAAGGGGATAAAAGCAGTTTTCTATTACCACCACATTAAGGTGAGATTGGATTTTGCATTATGAATTATCATCTTATTTTACATATTGCTAAACAGAATGCAATGTTCCATTTAGATGTAACTGAGCTGGAATGTGAGGGAGTTTTAAGCATTTGTATAAGGACAAGAAGAGGGAGCACATTTGACATGTTTAGATTTTTAAGTTGTCTTCAATGTATAGCATCTTACAATTAGCATACTGATGTTTTTCACTCAGAGAGGTAAAAAAAACCTGTGCAGTACATTTGACTATGCCATCAGGAATAGTTTGAAAAATCCTTAATTGCAGTATTAAGAAAATGAAACAGCAACAGTGTCCTGCAGAGATATGTCAAAGCTGAGAATTCCCTGGCTGTGCAAGGGGCGACCCCGTACTGATACAGTTCTGCAAAGTATAAAGCCATACTACACGGATATATTCTTAAGGCTGAAGCTTTTCCTCAAGATTCATTATTTTAAAATTATTTAGAGTAAAAGGATACTTAAGAAGTTATCTACTCAATATCAGTACTAATGGATAAATGGTAATAGTAAAGTTGTAGTTTTATAGTATTTAGTTCAAGATAAGCTACTGTAAATTTTTTTTTTTTAAAAAATAACAGTTAACAGTTTATCTTTGCTTTGATTTTTAAAATCTTTGTCTATTTGTGTTTCAACTGTTCTTTGTTATGTAACTGTTCCCATGGCCCATGGAAATCAGGTTCACTGTGAGGTTAAATGGTACCTTGTCGAAGCAGGGATGTGACCCAGGATGAAGGACTCGTATGACTCCGTTTGTTTTCCTGCTTTGTAAATCTTCTGCCTCTGCATACACGGATGCGTAGGAAGAGGAGAACAGATGTGAGGGAAAGGTCAGGGATGCTGTGAAGTCTGTGAGGCTTTCCTTTTACTTTCTATGAGATTTAGATGACTCCTTTGTGCAGATACATGAAAACACTCCTCAATGAATGTAAGTGTTTATATTTAGCGAAGTATAAACCAGGAGAGAAGGGAAAGTACAGACCAAGTAGCATGCACATACCAAATGCCATCCAAATCCAGTATTGACCCACTGTCAGTATATTAACTAACAAGAAGATTCCCTCACATATAAACATGTTTTCTACATCCCTATCAATGAATATCTGAAATTGCTGAACTGAAACAATTTGTGCATCTGTGTGGGTATGCAGTTTTAGTAAATCCAAATTACAAAGTTTGCCAGTGCACTGGAGAACACAGAATTGCTTCTTTGTCCTGAGTTTGACATTATAACAAAGGATAATCCTATGAACTGTTCAAGTCATTATAGTCTATTACCTAGAAGCAAGGGATAAACTGTGATCATTTTCTCATTAGAGGTCAGTTAGTTGAGGTTGTAATGGACTACATGGTATTTTAACATCAATGCCATCATAGATTAGCTGCACCTTCTACTGAGAGACATTGAGAAGGATTCCCAGTACTTGGTTTCTCCAGATATGCCACATTCTGATGACAAACATCCAGGAAACTCAATCCATGGGCTGAGCCTACAGCTTCTCCCCACAGGTAAAGCAAACCAGGCAGAGTTGCTTTGTCCAAAGGTGACTCTTTGGCTGCTATGACTCTTGATCTCCAAGTTCTCTTTGTTTATTATTTGTTATCTTCCTTCTACCTGTAGGTTAAAGCTTTATAAGCTTTATAAAGGGGGGAAAAAAAAGCAGCCATGCAATTTGTTTATTCTGATGTTCAAAATGTTTCCCAGAGTCAAAGTTTATTTTCCTATTTCCATGTGTGTTTCTCTGTGTCTGGCAAACATAGGTGCCAAGTGATCGTTTTGGAACTGGGTCCTGTCTCATCCATTCCTTGCCCTGGTGTCAGGTTTATACTTACCATACTCACATTTTCCCCGTTTCAGCCTGGCATTACAGAGCTTGGGAAGCAATTTGTCTGGGCTGCTGGCTGGCTAAGCAGTGCACATGGCTTGTGCTTGCTGGCTGGCAGCTGGCAAGTCATCTCAAGGATATCTGTTCTGCAAGGAACCAGAAAAGGTTGTTGTTATTGTATCCTTGGAAATGAAGGCTGGCAGCAGCCAAATGTTTGTATGGTGCTCTCTCCTCATGGTAGTGCAAGAACTCAAAAATGGGCTTACACCTGTACACTGAGTAGGAGAGACACTGCCATGGACTACAGTTGCACATAGGCAGTTGGGCAGACACTGTTTTGGAAGGAGTGAAAGGATATTGGATGAGTAAATCATGAAAAAGATGACATGGAGCTCAGAGTTTGTAAAATAATGTAATTCAAACTCCATCCCTTCAAGAGTATGCTCTTTATGAACTTATATGCAAATTCTCCTTCTTACTCTCACAGAAACAGCAATTTTTTATGGATGGCGAGGAGTCTAGTTTTGACCTAATGTATTCTGAAACACTAATGAGAGTAAGCTTGAACACTCCAGGAACATTTAACTGGAAATGGTTAAGGGGAAGAGCCAGAATTGTTGCTCAGGTGATGTTCCCTTGTTTGCAGATCAGAGGTCTCATTACAGTCAATCAGTAGAAGGATGGAAATGAAAACAAACAACTTCCACTATTATTTTTTGTAATAAAGTTGTGCCTGAAAAAAAAGGCATAGACTTCCACTGATGAAATCTGGGCAAATGTATTTCTCCTCCATTAGGCCATTGTTGTAAAGGAATTCCAAGCTATTTCCAAGGAGATTTTAAGAATCAGGTCATGCTCTGAGGCCCCAGTTTGAGTGGTTACATACACCCTATACTGCCTGGCAGCAGATATGAATGGCATGAAAAAAAGTAATTCAGGGAGAAAAGTTGTTTATTCAGCAGTCATACAATTCCAGCATGGAAGCCACTGGCATAAACAAATGAAAGCAATTTATGTATGTACATAAAGAACATAGTGTGAAATTCCCATTTGTAAAGTGGTATAATGTACTACAGAGGCTTTTTAGTGTGAAAGAAAGGCATCAGGAGCAATTCTGAAACATATAAAGCTGACTGATTGTCTATAATGCTCCTCAAAAAGAGCCATGTGAGAAAACAAGGCATCAATAAAAGGGATGGTGAAAAATATTAAAGTAGAATACCAACAGAAAACCTCTTGTGCATTTAGTCCAGTATTTACAAAAGGACTTATGCTCCAGAATTACAGTCAAGCAGTAAAACTTTGGGACTTCATTGTTTCCCATGATTCTTAAAGAAGTAACCTTTCTAATTTAAGACACAGTAAACCCCTTAAAAAAACCAAACAAACAACTTACCAAGAAGTGAATTCAGGTATTATTCAGATAGTGAGTTATACTCAAAAGCATTCATAAGCAGTTGCTCACTTTGTGAAGCAAACAGACTTTCATTCAGCATGAAAAATGGATCCTTTCCTTCAAGAACTACATAAAATCAGGAAATGCCACCTAGCTTTCCTCTATTTTTTGTATTCCCCAGGTCACCTTATTAACACAAATAACACAGGACTAGTTCTTGGTGGAGATTTATAACAGTAAGCCTTATTATTAATTTCTTCAGGATTTGGTGAAAAGCACGTAAAATATTTCTGCTTGAGATTCTTGCATTTTCATCCTTATATTAAACAAAATGGCCTATTTAGAGACAAGTTTTCAGCAAGTAAAATAAGTGCATTCAACCATTATGTAAATTCTGTAAGATTCCAACTTCTCACAAAAATAAAAGTTCATACTGTAAAAATACAAAATAGACATATGCTAGAAATAACACGGCTTAAAGTGTTTTGAATGTACTATGAAATACAAATCAGATATACATTGTCCAGTATGTAAGATTTTGTAACTGTATTAAGAACTCTAGCTTCATGCCGATAAAGCCTCCATCTATAATTCATTTTTAGTAAAGCAACATAATCTGTATATTAATATTTTAATATAGTAAATGCTTGGAGAGACAAAGGAATGAAATTTTGGTAGGCAAAGATATGGAGACACTACACTTGTTGGCCAGATCTTAGCTCCCCTTGGGGTTCTGATTTTGTAGCCTATTAAGCACGTTCTTGGTTTTTTACTTTTCCTAAAGAGCAAGGCACATAAACTCAGCCTGAACTTTGAGGTAACACTTTTGTAGTTAGCTCTTCTTGAAAATTGTTGAGTCATTTCAGTATGGGCTTATCTGGCTGCTGAAGGAATGGATCTGCAGGGAGGAAGAGAGAAGCTCATGAGTCAGGTTCACCCAAACCCACATTTCTGTAGTGCTGCCCCTCCTTCCCTCACCCCAACCTGATTTTACATTGTGTGGAGTGGAAGCTGGCCACAGCTGAAATCTAATCACCTACCAGAGGCTAAGCCAAGACAAGATGCCAGATTTGATGGCTTTTGTACTGTCAAAAAAACTCCTGCAAGGGTCTGGAAGTAGCAAGAATAGCCAAAATAGAGGAGCCACATCCCTGCCACATTTATATTTGAGTTACAGCTTGAGTGGCAAACTCAGCAATGCCATGATTGAGTGACTGAAAAGTGAGCACTAGGAATGCACAGGACAAGAGGAGCATGTAATAATTATGGCTGGTCTGCATAAAAACTGAAAAAAACTACACTGTAGAATTCAATCAGTCTGTTGTATAAATCAGAAATTGACTTGAGAAAAAAAAAAAAAAAAAAAGGAGTAACTTCCACATTAGGGAGCTTAAGCTGTAATTTAGCAAAGTTAAAATTCATGTAATCCTATCATCCTTTATAAAACACTGGAATTAATATTGTTTGAGAAAATAAAAAGTTAATCAATATCACACCTACGAAAATTAATACTGTTCACACAAATAAGATCAGCCAAAGGCAGCATGTACATCTTAATCAGGGAACACAAAAGCAAGAGCTCTGGGGGAACCTGGAGTGGTTGTCTAGGAAACAGCAACAAAAACCCCAGTATATGAATTCTGCTGCTAACAAGCAGTCAAGGTTCATGAAGACACCACAACTTTTCAAGGGGAAAATTCAGAGAATTAGAATCTCTTCTGAGAATTCCCAAGTAACCTTAAGTTTTGGAAATGTCACATAATTTAGACAAATAGGAGTGATGCAATAGAGGAAAAAACCCTGCAGCATTGTAGATAGCCTGAGCCAGTGACCACACCTTGCACCCAAATTTTGCACTTTTATGAGTGGTTGGTTTTCCTGAGACCACCTTCACATCTACATGTAAGTAAGCACTGATAAGAGTCTGACAAGGACATGTTTACTGCAGGTGTTAAATCTGTGCATGGTACTTGTAAGACAATGTTGAGAGCCAGCACAGAGTATTGTACTTTCCCAGTTGTAATAGGTTAGTGGGATGAGGTACTGACAAAACATTATTAAAATGTATGTATGTGCTTATTTTTTAATTTCATGCACATCTTGGCTTTCTGCAGATCAATCTGGAATGTCAGACAACTGCAACACAACATATCCTTTCATATCAGATGCCCTTGGGTTTTGTTCCCATCAATTATTGGTTTCACTTGTGAAAAGCAAATTGAGAGTTCATAAACAAAAATTGAATCTTCAAATTGTGTTACTATCCTGGATATCTGCAGTGTCCAGGGGTCAGCATTAAAGGATGTACTTTGTAAATTGCCTGGTATAACAATAAAAAAAAGCAAAGCGTCTGGGTTTCTTTTTTTGCCCTCCAATTTGCAGCAGGGCAGTATTACAGCAAGTTGAGAAATCTGAAGTGTTATTGACTGCAACATTTTTTCTGTCATTTTCTTTGACAGGTATTTTGGAGCAAGGATATTGGTACCTGAAAAGAGTCTTTTAACTGTAGTTAAAGAAGAGTTACCTGGGAAATATTACAGCCCCTGAGTGGCCTCCTCTCTGAGCAGCGGATGTGTGTGTTATCTCCGTGGCACAGGAGGAAAGGCTGATATGATAAGGACTAATGCAAGTTTCCCTGACACATTTCGTGTCATCCTCCTAAATTTCACCTCCTCTTGGATACCTGTCAGCCACTGCACCTCATGGAGACAGGGCTGAAACGTGAGCAGAGCAACAGGGACGCAGATCAGCCCTGTGGTCGGGGAGGGCACACGGTGTGTTCAGAGTCCCCGTCACCAGGCACTGGATGAGCTCGGAGGCGGTGGCACAGGTGGCGTTTGGGTGCAGTCAAGTGACAGAAAGCATTGACAGGTGAGCGCCTTCCAGCGCCGCTCCGCGGGGAGCCGAGCCTCCCTCAGGTGTCTGGAGCAGCCTCGTGTGCCCTTCAGCCGCTCTCTTTGCCAGCTGAAATTTAAGTTTCAGGCTCTGCCACAAGCTTTCCTCCCTGCACAAAGCATCTGCCACCTTTTTGGCTGCGGAGGGGTTTTCTCCTCCTAAAGGTCACCTCAGCTCCCAGCAGCCACTGCTGGCTGCCGATCAGCGCTGCTGCAGAAACTTTTCCCTATTCATCAATCTAAAGTTTTCCCATGCTCTCCTCCCGCGGGGTGCCCTCCTCCAGCAACCTTCTGTAAATTAAAACCGGGCTGATTTTCCTGTGCTCACCCTGCCGCTAATAACAGTGAAGGGCAGCGGCTGCCTCCGGCCACTGCTTGCCTCAGCCGCCACAGCCCAAGCTGGGGGAGCCGGCGGCCTCCACAGGGGATGGGAACTGAGGCGTCTTCTGTGCCAGCATCTCCACAAAACACGGTTTAGAGCACATCCTGCCTCACAGGCATCGTGGGAGTGTGCTCGCGTTTCCCTCACAACCGGCTGGGTGCCGTGCCCGGGTTTCTCTCCCCAGCAACCCGGCGTTGTCCCGGGGGTTTCCCTCAGGAAGGTACTTCCAGCCCCGGTAGCGGCCGGCTGGGTGCGGACCGCCGAGGGGAATCGGCCGAGCAGTTTCTAGAACCGTCTGAGGGCAGGGCCGGGCCGCGCCGGGCCCTGCCCTGCCCGCCTCCCCTGACCTCCCCTGGCATGGAGGACCTTAGTAGGAATAATATTTTAAATCATGGCTTTTAGCCCTAACGTTTGTGTTACCCGCGGCTGACCCCGCCAAGGTTACAGAGCGCTGCGGGGAGAACACGCTGTGGGAAGCTGTGAGCTGCCTTGTCCCCAGCGTGCCGCGCCTGGCCGGGGTGGCTGCCGGCTGAGCAGAAAGGCAGCAGATGTTTAATGTCTGTCTGCGAAATACGAAATGCCACCAGGCTCTTCACTGCTCAGCCCTTTGCGGTATTTCCCTTATGGCTGCCTCGCTTCTTTTGTTCTTCCTTGGCAAGCTAAACGAGGAAGGAACTCGTGAATTAATAGAGGAGGAGGTGTCAAAATCTAAATGATTTTTTTTCTTGCTAGTATTTACTCAATTTGCAACACTTGTCACTGAGGGAAGTAATATAGTTACTCATAAAAGAGAAATCCAGAGACTTTTCATGTGAGAATTGGTGAGGCAGGAGGTTCTGGAGGAAACCTGCCTTTTCTCCGTTCTTAGGAACGTCAGTAGTTATCCTTTGTCCCATGGGGTGTGAATCCTCTGCTCTCACCATTAATGTCATTAGCTCATTTGGCAAACGGTTCACTTCTTTATACAAATTATATAGCAAAAATACTTCAATAAGCTACATAACTGGTTTTTGAAACTTAAAATCACAAGTCATTACTCAACAGGTATTTGTACTATAGACAAAAACCCTCAAAAAGCCTGGAGACCAGAAACCTTTTAGCTCTTCACAACTAAGCTCAAAACCTTTGTCCTTTCTCTGTTCAGTCCATGTTATAGACTCGATGCTCTTTTGTCTTTGAGTGTATTCGTTTTTCCCTCGGTACTTTACTTCAGCGGCACTCACCAGGCAAATTAATCTAAAATGAAGTTTACAACCATGTATCTGAAGTTTCCAGGCCTCAGAAGGACTTGATTTGTGTAATGGGACAGGATTTAATTCAGTTGTAATTTTTATAGAAGTTTAAGCAGCAGCCTTTCATAATTCTTTAGCCAATTATATCTAGCTGCTCACAGATTATGTATTGTATGTGGTTTCAGTTAATTGTATAGAACTCCATCAAATTGGTAAATAAAATTGTCCTCATCTTTTGACAGACTACAGAAGGAGACACAGATATGAGTAACTTTCCTCTGAATGACAGATGGGACTGCAGCAAGAGTCTGGACATTATGTTTCAGATCCATAACACTAATATGTTATGGATCAGCATTACAAAATAAGCCCATTAACGCTGTGGAGAAAGAGGAAGTCATTGGCAGAGCAAGGAAAAGAATTTATGAATACCATTTCCTAATCCTTCAGTCTAAACACTAAACCCTGTTGTCATTAAGAATTCAAAAACAGAGAATATTATTATTACTAAATTGTGATCATGCATTTTCATTCAAGGTTTACCTCACATATTGCAATGTATTATGGAAGGCGTTGACAAAGTGGAATTTCTTAAAGGAATGACAATCTGTCATGCAAAGGCTGCTTTATTTGCAGTGACTGTGACTCAGTGGACTGATGATACTGTCACTTCTTGGAAATTCTAAGTGGGAGAGGCTACAAATAAACTAGTCATATGCAAGGAATGGCTATCTGATAAAGGGAAATTATATAACTATATAAGCATAGCATTTTTTATGCAGCCCTGGAAGCAGCCCCTGTTGTTCTCTTTGCAGGGCAAGTGAACATGCATCAGATACAGGTAAGTGCATATTTAGTCTATACATTTCTATACATTTCACCTGACCCTGTCCCTCTTTCCCTGTGAAGGGTTTTGGACAACTTCTGCATTTGAAAAAAGAACATGTGTGAAATAAATGAAAAATAATGTCTGGACCATGAGGAATTACTTCATTAGTTCTCAAAACATGGAATATAACTTTCTAGCATCTGCAGCAAAATGGCCTAGAGAGTCTTTTACAGCTTGACCAGCAGTATAGTAGCTGTGGAGCAAGAAAATCCCATGTGGTTCATGTTCATGGTGTCTGTTGTTACTGGTCATTAAAAAACACACAAACAAACAAACAAACAAACAATAATCCTTGATTCTTGTGCTAAGTAGTATATGGCATACTGCAAACCACTTAAAGATAACTATGGCTGATTTAGTTAAGAAAAAATTGTGGTAAACATATAGAAAAATTAGATAGAAAGGTAACCTTCACAAAACCCTAGATATTGCATTAAAAAAATATAAAGTGAGTCCAGTATTGGTCTCTGCTGCTTTTAGAGGTGTAAGGATAATTCATCCATTCAAGGAGCAGAGGCAGTCAGAGGCCATGTTTTCTCATTGAGTATTGATGGGCTGTATTTGTACACATTGGTTAGGAGTGTTTTGGATAATTGTAGCTATGCCTCTTGTGAAGTGTAGGTGTTTGCATTCCTGACTCGCACAGAGCTGCGAGGGCTTGGAAAAAACAGTCTCTGAGCTGGTGTTGAATGTGCGTGTGTGGGGCTTTCTTTAGTAGAACCAGAAATCTTTGCCAAGCTCCTGGGTAATGAATGAACTTGCTGAAAGCAGAGGATGTAAAGGTTAAATGGAAGAAGGAAGGTAAATCAGGGTGTTTTTCTCAAAGGTGAACTATAGGGGAGTTCAGGGATTCAAGCATTAATCATTGGGCTCTGTGCATGTTTATCATAGGCAATTATTGGGTACATCACTGCTGCCTTTGAAGTGCTGTGTCTTTTCTCCTCCTTCACAATAACCCAGGACTGGATGCCAGTTTTCTTCCTTGTTCTTCTGTGTGAAAAGAAAGTTTGTGCCTTTCCTATAAAGATCATGAAAAGGGTAATTTTCCCCTCTGGCTTTCCTTCTGTACCACTAAAGTAGAGGCACTGGGATGACTCCTCTAGAAGACACAGCTCCACCTCTTATTTCCATACTTTCTATACATAGCAAATCTACTTTCCTGTTTCTCTGGGAGCTTGGGGAGATTTCTTTAGTGTTTGAAAGTGAAGCATCGTTTTCTTTTCCACATGAGAGTGCCCAACCTGATCTTCTGGCTGCATTAGGAAAGAAGTGCTATAAAACAGTCAGGCATAGCATAATAGCCTCTTGATGGATGTTTCCCACATAAACAGCGCTATTTGAGACCATTTCTTGAACCCCAGGTTTGCACAATTTCCTACTTTCAGAGTGACTTGTGAGATTAACTCTAAAGTCACTTAGTATGAATTTAAAAAAGATAGGTCATGAACAGAAGCAGACTTGCTTTCCCTTGCCTTCTGATATCAGAAAAAATTGTGTAAGTAGGCCATGGAGAGCAGGAATTGTAATGGAATTTGGTGGGTTTTTACAGTTTCTTTAGCTTTTACATTTACTGAGGTGATTCATATTGAATAAGTCTCTACATTATCATCCTGTTGTAGGATTTGTCTTCCGTGTGTCTGTGGAGTCACTGTGGGTGGTTTTCACAAATAATGTCTTGTGTTACCTTTGGACGCCATATTTCTTAGACTTTTCATTCTTGCTGTGGTTACTTGGTCACTTTTATCTCTCCTTACACTGGCAATATTTCCAAGCAGTTCTGGAATAGCTAATGCTTGTGATTTTAATCTGACACTATTGGCAATGGACACTTTGGTTAGATATATGAGTTAATAAAAAAGTTGCAAAACATAAATGTTCACATATGATTTATTTTAAAAGAAGCTCTAATATTTGTAGGATTTTTGCAAAATGTGTGTACACGCTTCCAAATATTAGTTTCCTAAACTATGTATTCTACAGGGTAGGAGGTTTACCATTAGCTCTGTCTTCATGTTTTCCAACAGTAAATAGCAAACTAACTATTAAACTGGAAATGGCAAACAAAAACTGCAAGGGGAAAATATGTCATGCAAACTCTGGCTTCTGGGGAGGTAGAAGGAAAAAGAGAAAGAAAATAACATATCCAGATTTCCCAGATTTTCATTTAATCCCTTTCTTGTCTATATGAATGTATTGTAGAATGTAAATCTATTACCTCATATTCCTTTGCCTTTCCAGATGCCTTGCTTTTTATGACACATGATGGATTCAAATTTAGACTAAGCTTAGTGACTTTTCCAATCTTTTATTTCAGATTTGCATATTAACAGAAAATATACAGCCCCAAAAGGAATGCAAATATTACATCTATGTCATAATTAGCATTATGACATTTAAGAAAAATGGAAAAAGGATTTTTGGTTTTGCTATATGAAAAAGCTATTTATCATTATAGATCTTCATTGAAAGTTGTCATCTGAGTGGTTGTTTTTGGAGGTTGCATACTAGGGATGAAAAGAAATATACCTCCCCTTTGTCATAAGCTTTCCTTATGGCAACAGTGAATTGTCTTGCTCTGTCTTGTAGTTTGCTAAGATATCAAATTGGATTTGCTTATCCATCTGTGTGGAAGTTACACTGTGAAGTGTTTCCATCCATTTCACAGGGCCATTAGTAATAACAAAGTGAAATGTTTAATACTACAAGGCAGACTGTCTCACAGTTCCTGTTCTCAGGATGCTGTAGGGTCTGGGAGACTCTTAAAGTGTTCTTAACATTATTTCCATATTCTTTAAAGGCTTTGCAAGATTATATAAGACTTGGGTGTTACTGTTTAAAAAAAAACCAAAACTCATCCTCAAGAAACTTAATGTTTTCTTGCAAATTTATTTTAAGATGAAGTAACAAAAATTAGGTGTCTCCCTCAAGGAATTTCCTTTCAGTTAAAAAAAAAAAAATCTTACAAGAATTGCGTTTTGATCGGCTTTTCCCCTGTGCTTGCTGGCTTACAGAAATCTGAGTAGGTCTGGTTGTCCTATGAGGATTGTGTTTCATGTCTTAGACTTCCTGAGCTGCTTAGTGCCTGCGATGGACCTTTCAGTCTTTGCATCTTGTAACATTTTTGTGGTGAAAGTGTACTGCGAGAATATTCCTGAAAGATACATTTTTTGAATGCAACTTCAGTACATGCTCAGTGGTGAGTATGCTAAATTATTTTGGTTGCTTAGATCCATCACCTGGGGATAATGAAACCCTGCAGTGCGGAAGGGAGGCAATAACACTCCACTGTTTGTCACTCCTCTGTCCATTCCTTGGGAGTTCTGGTGTTGATCATAACACCAAGAGTGGTAAAAATGCACAGATAACCTTGTTGAGTGACTGCACGGTAGCATCCCCATGGTCTCTGTTTTCTGTTTGTGCCATTGAAAACTCTTTTGTCATGGCATTGTGTTGGGTTTTGAATGCAAGACTCTTATGCTGTACTGTCCCTATGTTTATCTTAAGCATCTGCACGCAGTCCCACTCTGCTAAGTGAATTCTTATGGGGGAAATGGCTCCACTGTTTATTGAATTCCAACTGTTGAATTTTTCTGGAAAGCATCGCTGATATGTAGTATGGTTTGCCTATAGCAGCTACATGAGCTCTGCCTTGGTGTGCGGATGGGGAGAGAAGCATTCTTTGGGATCTCTGTGTTACCTGCAGGCTCCCTGTTGACCTTTTTGTCCTTTGGGGTGGAAAGGGACCACCTGCATCTGTTACATTGATGGCACATCTTGGCTGCTGCAGATGGGATGAAAGGATCTGACCTAGGAACACATGTGTGAAAGGTGATAGAGTCTGGTGCCCAGTCTTTGTGCAGACTGCTTTGCCATTTCATGAACATCCAGCCAGTCACTCTTGATATGTATTGCTATAAGTGACCTAGAATTTTGGGGTTTTAAATTTCTTTTCCTTTTAAAATCAGGCAGGCAGAAACATTTGCTTTGATCAGTCATCTATTTTCTTATTCCTTTACCCGCAGGTACCAGCTTTTATCATTTCCCACAGCTCTGTGCATACAAACACTATAAACAAGTAGTAAAGTGTCTGAGTCATCAGATACAGTTCCTCAGGGAGTCTTGCAGAAGAGAAGTAGATCCTGATTTTTGCTGCTGTTGCTGTGCTTATGTTAAGAGTCCCATGACACTGGCCTGGTACTCATTTATAAGGAGAAAAATTCAAACCCAGATGAAGAAATCAGGAAAATCAGAATGTTTGTAATCTTCTGGCAGGTCTTATGTGCCTGCTAAACAACAGATACATATATAGCAGTAGCTCTTTCCCACTGGGTTTTAAAGCAAAAGCGGGAAATAATTGATGTCATTAACAATGACTAAATTTGCATATTTATTATATTATGCCAACGAAGAGCAGGACTGTGAATAAACTAATGTTATAACTGGCAAGGGATGTTTTTTGGCTGGTGCCTTATGTGGAATCTTATTGCTTTGACAATTGCTGATTTGATGCCTTCCCAAATGCTGCTTTTTCAAATAGCTTCTTCCAGGGAAGCCTCCTCAAAAAATTCCCTCCAGATTTGATAGCTCCTGCCGTAACATGAATTATGTTTTTGCCTCCATTTCTACACAGTGTTCTTTGTATTTGAGAAAGTATCTGAAATCATACATTGATGAAATATGGAAACATTCAATGAAGGTCCATAAAATTCATATAGATCATCCTTCTTTCAATCCAATTCCTAAGACGGCCTCACAAACTTGTAATGCATATCTATTCCAGATGTTGTTTATTATTTCTATTGCCTAAAGAGAACTATCAAGGAGAGAAAAATAAAGCCAGCATTAACCCAACAGAATCTTAAAAAAAAAAGTACTTTCTATCTCCAGAAAGTCTGGAGACAGATAAAGCACATTGATAAGCACACTAGTGCAGGCGAAATCAGATTTAACATCAATATCGTATGGTCATCAGAATCTGGTGTACTGTAAATTATTAAATATAATCTTGACAGTTGCTCCCTGCAGCTTGTGGTCTTAAGGTGATAAGAGCCTTTGGTCAGAAGTCCTTGGCTTGTAATAATTCTGTAATGGTGCTGGATGTGCACTGCCTGTGGCAAGGGCACTGACTTAAAAAGAAATCTAGTGCAATCCAGGACAGAGAAGTGAGGAAACAGTAATTAATATATCATAACTGAGATATTTCTGATGTGAGCTGAAATTTACATGAGGCAAATGCAGCAAGAACTGAGAGATTTGCTACAGATTTCAAAAACTGCCAATAATGGGAAAGGCCTACCAAAGGATGTGGATGCTTCGGTCACCCATTTGCAGTGAACTGATTTTCTAAGGTCAGCACTAATGTGGCATCTCCTTGTTTTCAGACTGTCATGTTGTCCGTGTGGTGTGTAAAAACTAAAATTCAGGTTGATGTTAGGGAGTTTTAGTGGTACCCTACATGTGACTTTGCAGATTACATGAAGCAAACAAACAAATAAATAAGAAAAAAACCCCCATACCTCTATCATTTATCTTATTGCATGTATATTTTTTGTTTCTGCAAAATTTATTACAGAAGAAAGAAAGTCAGAATTTCTTAAGGTTTGCTTAAGCTGTACTCTCAGTGGACTGTGGTTCTAGCCATAGGAACTTAATAGATATAAATTACTTTTTCTCTTGTCTTGACTAAAAGGATTGGCAGACAAATTTTGTATGTCTACAATATAAGGCTTCTAGAATATGAAATACAAAAACACATCTCTTTTTTAATGTATGGATTCATGCATTCTAAAAGTTTAAAACCATGGATATTCAAAAGCTGTGATCAGTAGATCAGATTGGCATTCTCTTTGAACAAGTAAGAAGACAGGTTTTAATGATATGAATAAAAATAACTTTCTAACAAGTAGATTCTTACGAAATAATCTTGTCCTGATTTGCTACAAAGGACTTCAATCTCTGTTTCAAGTGGAATGGAATTTTTGGAGTAAAATTCCAGGAAGTTGTAGATGTTTGGATATCTTTTATTTGTAGGACATTATGTTTTAGTTTGCCAGCTTGAAGACCAGCAAGAAAATGTCTGCAAAATAATATGGCTACCCAGAGTGTGAAGCCAGGTCACTGAACTTCTAATATCATTGTATTTTCTTTAATAAAAATGGAACAGTAAGTGGAACTGTGATTAGAGGGTGCCAAAGTAAGATTTTGTTTTTCATAAATATTTTATGCTGATTGTCAAGGGAAGAAGAGGTTATGTGTTTATTTCAGCTTAAGTGCATGGTTTGAGCAGGGTCTGGGTAGATGACATCCAGAGGTCCCTTTCAAAATAAAATTTTCTGTTTCAGTGCCTGGTGTATTAACAGGAGTGTCTGTGTGTACAAGTGTGTCTGCATGTATGAAACAAAGTGAAATATTTTTTTTTTAATCTTTGCAGACAGCAATATGCACAAGTAGGGATATTGCAGGAATGTTTTGTTGTCTCCAGAATACATCTGCACTTGCACACTGATGTATGAGAACCTTTTACTGTGACAGAATAGTTCATGGAGGCCCAGAGAGGACACGTGTAGGCCATGCTCCTTGATACAGTTCCCAACACCTCTGGTAAGTTGTGCTGACTTTCACTCCTTGCTTCACTGAGCCTTCTCAGGGTATTCCCAGGCCAACAGCTGTTCAACAAAGCACATTATTGACTTTCATTTGCTTTATTACTCCTTGACCATGAAAAACAGTCCTGGGTACCTCTGCTCAACTTGCTGATGGGCTGTGCTAAACCTTCCCTTGGGAGTTGATGTCCATTACAATCTTTGTCACAGAGTACGTGAGTCCGGGAATCCCAAGTTTTAGGATCACTTATCCTGGACTGGAGTGTGCATCTTGGAGCTTGAAAGTCTTAGGATTTCTTTTTGTTTGTTTGTTTGTTTGTTTCTATTGAAATTCAGCGAAATGAAGTGGCTTTTCTTACTTGAGACTTGCATGCATAGGAATATGCTACCCAATAGCAGTGTGAAGGACATTATAACCTGCTGCCATGTGACATAGTTGTAGAGGTGGTATATGACTATGAAATTATTTCAATGATCTAAAGTTTCTTCTCTTTCCCAGCATGTCAAGAAATAGAAGTATTACATGTGCTTAGGGCTCTAATGTGATTATGTATCCACAGGATACCAGGATTTAATGTGTTGCACAGAAACTTTAATATATAGTATTATGCTCTTGTTTACTGTATTTGCAATCACTGTTGGGTTGAAAACTTGATCTGACTCTAAAAATAACATATATTTCATTTTTATTTAAAAATGAGAAAAGTGTTCATTGATCATCATGAAAGAGGTATCACAGTCAATGAGGCACATTGTAGAAACATAATTAGTCAGATGATGATCTGGCATGTGCAGGAAGAATGTAACAAATTTATCAGTGCATCTGAAGCAAGCTAATTTGGCTGCCTTAATCTATGTTCTATATAATTGTTATGAAAAAAAGAGTAACCCAGTTTAATTTTAATGTTCAGAAAGCCAAGAGAAATTGTCAGTTAAAATTAAAAATAGTTCAAATCAGTGAGATAATATCAAAACAGGGCCCTGAAATATTATTCTAGCCTCAGTTTTTCAGAATCCAAAGTAGCAAAAACTCCCAGTAATTCTGTAATTTAGTTATGATCATAAGCACTCTTTAAGTTAGATTAGAAGTGGAGTTACAGATTAATGTTTCTTATTACACCCCTTAGGCTGCTTCTTTTTTTCAATATTCAGTTCTGATAGCCCTATATGCTGACAGTTCTTGTATATACAAAGGAGAAAGCTATTTGGAGGGCAGTGGTTAGGCTCATCCTAATGGATGGTTGTCAAAATTACTTTTCCCTGAGTTCTTGGCCTGTAATTCTAAGTGAACTCAGTGATAGTACAGGTCAGTCTCTATTCAGATGAAAACCCCAGTGTCTAAACATGGGCATTTGAAAGCAGAAATGTATAAATATTTTTGAAACATTAAAGTCTCTAAGCCAGCATTTGCTTTCAGAAGTGTCACCTTTCATATGCAGATCTGTTTTCCTCTCTCCTGGCAAAGTGAAAATAAACAGTCTTAAATAACTACAGATACTACATTGTAGGACTTAAGTAAAGGTAATCAGGAGACAAAATAACTTGCAGTTACTCACTTTGATTCTGTTCCTTTGCTCCACAGCACAGCGTGGTCACTGCAGTTCTTGATCATCTTAAAGACGTGATTCTGAGCCTGTGCAGCTCTCCTGCTCCTTTCAGTGCAGCACTGAAAGCCTGGCTCAGGCTGGCAATCTTCCATCTAACATCTTCACTGTTTGCCAGGACTTTGCTTTGACTGAAGAACTTAAATGGGATGGAATCACAGAGACTAGGAGGGATGGCTGGTGCTTAGTTGACTTTGAAAACCTGGTCTGTTATTGACTGGGGCAGCACCAAGAAAAGCAAGCATTTGTCACTGAAATTTTAAAAAATAATTGTAAAAATATCGGGCAAATGTCCTTCTCCCTAAGGAAGGCAACCCTCTTCTGCTACTGGTCATCCCTAAATCTGCTACTAGGTAACTGATGCTGAAAACTAAAAGTGAGGGTACTCTGTTTATGTGTTTGAGAAATACCACAACAGACACGGAGCTTGAAAAACATTTACTGTAAATGTTCTGCACCAGCCAAATGATTCTGCTGTCTTTTCTGAGACCACACATACACACTGTCCTCCAGAGGTGCTGCCCTATTTTCTCTCTTCAGCCCTCAAATGGATGGAATTTGGGGAGTACGTTTGCTACTGGCACAGAAATAAAAGTCAGGCTACAAATTCTTCCATTCTGTTTAAGAAAACCTACTTATCACCACAATGGTGGAAAAGCTTATGCAATTCCTCTTGTATGACTGAGATGTACTCTGTAACATATAAATGTTAATGCTTCCTGCTGCTTTTAAAATCTGTGCCTCATTTTGTCTGTGGGTTTCAGCCTTTTGAACAAATGCTTTATTTTTTTTTTTTTCCAACTCACTCGATCATCCAGATTTCTTTAGTTCCCATTCCACCTGGATTGGAAAAAAAGGAAACGTTGACTGAAAACTACTGTCTGCTAAAGGTGAATTATCAGATCAACATTTCTTGAGACAAATGTTAGAAAGAACTTCATAAAGATTTTTACGATTTGTAGTTCATTGGCAAGTTTAATCAATAATGGTGTGGAGGCTTTCAGCTGGGCCTGTCTGCAAAGATCACGGTAGCTGAACGAGGTGTCCCTGGAGTGTGTTGGGCTGCATGGCAATGTTGAAGAGGCTGGCTGTGCATTAAAGCACACTCTGGTATGGTTAAAAAAGTGTATGTGTTTAACACAGATATGAAAAGGCCTTTTTTTCTCTCTCCCTCCATGTGCACACATTTCCAAAAGAAATCTCCACTGTTCTTCAGACAGAGAGTGCTCTGTGCTGCTGGCAGTGTCATCAGGAGCACTGATCAGCTTCACAAATACCAATCCAGCCAGCTGATCAATGTACTTTATCAACTGCCTTCATCTCTGGAACTCTCTCAAGGGCAGGGACTCCTTTGTCTTTCAGGAGTTCAGCCTGTCATCCCAACAGATCATCTGTTTTGCAGCAGAAGGCATTAGGGGATCTGTACTGTTTTTCATATCTCAAACCAGTATTTTGCTTGCTTTCCCTTTAAAAAGCATCATCCAGCAGAAAGTGGAAAACCTGCTGCTGAGAGTGAAGTCAAAGGCATGTGATGAGTGCAACAGCAGTTGGAAGCATCCCTCACTGGGAGCTTCTCTTTGTTAACACCCAGTGCAATTATGTGTAAAGATGAGGGGGAGTTATAATTATGCATTTTCTGAACATAACACCTCATAAGATCATTGACAGCTAATCAGAAATTTCCAAACTTGTTCAGCATTCAAAAACACTTTGTAACCAAATGTAAACTTCAAATTTACACCTTTATATCAAACCGTAGGCAGATTTTGTTTTCAGGGGCCTTTAATGAAAAAGACACTGGAACTTCAGAGGATTTTAAATGCTGACTAGTTTCATCTTGCTCTAATTCCTTTAGAGTAAGCACAAGAGCTTTTAGAGAAGGTTCAACAATTTAATTCACTAATTAGACCTATATACATAAATATGTTCCTAGCATTTGATTTGCCTGTTCAAAGTAGTAAAGTTCTAACTTAGAAGCAGGGTAAGGAAATACAATTTCCTTCCACATGTTTTGTTTGGGGCTAAATAATAGATAATAAATTTCCCTTTACTACTTTTACAATGTTCCTGGTGAAATTTAATGTCCAGGAGCAGAGATGATGACAGGCTGACATTTCTGAATACAGCCCTTCCAAATAGTTTGATACCAGGTCAAGTAATGAAATTAGGATATTTTTGGGGATTATGAAGATTTTAATTTCCTTCTCCTTTGATGTCACTTAGAAAGGGGCTAACAATTCCAGCACATCAAAATGTTTTTGAATAACGTTTCGGAAGGCTTTTAGAGTCTTAATTTGAGTGAAATTTGGTTCTACTTTGCAAAGGCTGTAAGACTATTCAAACACATAAGGCTTTTTAACTAAAAAGCTTTCTTTGCTAAATAGTTATTTTTATCAAGACTTTTAATGCATTAAAATGCATTAGTCACATGTCTTGTTCAGTACTCAACACTGAAATAGTACCTGCTCAGGGCTGAGGTGATAAAAAGGTGCAATGCACATATTCAGTAGTACATTAGTTGCTGTCATTTTTCCAGTTATCAGGCAGAGTTCAGTCAAGGGAAGTTTTGTTTGAGGAAAAAAAATCTACCTGTCTATCCTTTCTTCTTCTTGCTTCTTTATTAAGCTTCTAAATGTGGAGAGCCAGCTGGACAATTTTCCTATTTCTGGGCCTAGGTGTTAATTCAAAATAATTGTATTGAATTTAAGTTGTCATAATTAGTGTCTGAATTCACACGAGCCTCCTGGAAACTCAGCTTACCCTGTTCCCTCCGTAATGCTTCAGTGTCTCACCCTGTAAGAAACCCTGTGCACAGTTGGAGGCTGTTTCTGCAGTGAAACCACTGGACATAATTTAGCTTTCTGGTAGTATTAAAGTAATGAGTCAACGATGAGCATAAATGTTGAAGAAAAGGTACTGTGAGTTCCCCAACTGAGAAATAAATGGTACTGATGGATGTGCTCTATATTTGCAAGGGTTTTATTGTGTTGAAGAATGCAGTTTCTAAGTTGTGTTTTAGCTTGACTGTTGTTAAATGAGAGATTTCACAATGAAGCCATTTTTTCACCGCTGACCTAGCAAACACTGATGTTTTTAAGAAAATGAGTTGTTATGATTTCTTTAGGGGAACTCTTTCCCATGGCCTTGTATGAGGCCACTGCAGTATTTTCCTGCAGAGAAGACAGCTCATGTCTACAGCCCCAGATGGGCTGATGGGTCAGTGCAGAATAATAAAGATGTAATTGCATTCATCCATGCATTCAGCGTAATAATTAAAAAACCCTCAAGTTTTGGATTTTTAAAATTTAATAACATCTGGAAATATTTTGCTTAAATGTTTCGAATTACTTCTACAAATACATTCCTTGTTGCACTAATATAGAAACTTCTTGCAATGGAGTATTTCTAGCATTGATATAAAGAAGAAAAAAAGATAAATATCTGAGAACAAAGATACAAAACTGTATTGAGACACCCCAGAAACAAGTACATAAGATATTATATCCTTAAACAATAAAAGTATATTGCACCAATTCATGTTCTGCTTGTTTAATGTATGTAAAAATTCAAAAAAATTTAAAAAAAAAATTGCGATTTTTAAGCAAACTGTAAGTTCAGAAGGTAAGAAATAAACTTTACTATTAAGTATTATGTTAAGGATTTTTATGCTTAATGACACTTCTAGAACTGTCAGAATACAGTCCTAATTATATTCTATATTTTTCAGGGTAAGAAGTGATTTATTTACCTTAAAATATATTAAAATAAAAATTAATTAAAATTAAAAATTGATCTGATTTGCTAAATAATTCCCTTTATGTTTATTATTTTGTAATAGGCATAATATTCACCAGTTAGTCTATGGTGTGTTGGAAGTACTAATGCTACTACTGAGAGCAAACTATGAACTGGATCATTTTTTAATATTATGCTGAAAAATTCTGAGTGTTGCCATCAAGCATCAGTTTGATCTCTGTCTCATTAACAGACCTTACTTAAGATGTCATTCATTCAGAGTTCATGGGAGGAATAATTAAATACCCTTTGTGTGGTAGTTGAAATGGTAAAAACCACAAGTGAGCCTAGTGGGAAGCTCAGTAAGAATTTACAACTTACCTGGGAGATGAAGGCTTGCACTGAATGTATGCCTGAAGCTCTGGCTTTGCTCATCTTTGAGACAGAGTGACAACAGCCAGAGGAGAATGAGGGAAATCATCAGTAGTAATGAAAGGATTATCTCCCCAGGAGAAATGGGGAATCTTTCCAGTGTTAATAGACAATTTCACTGCAAAGAAATGCTTGAGTTGAACAGTTTCTCACACTAAAGGACCCAACTAATTGCAATACTGGCTTGAACTTTACTTAAAAATCAAGAGGTCAACTCCTGTGGCTGTGGTTAAGGGAGATTTGGTTGTAGAGCTGGACTCTGAGCCTCTGTCAGATCTCTGAGTCTTAACTATGGTTGCCTGGTTTACAGCCACCTACAGTTTTTCTTCTCAGCCTCTGCAAGACTATGTCCTAATTTCAAACAATATCTTCACTACGTTTCAGTCCCCAAGGGCAGCAGCTACACCAGATTTAATTAAAACTGGGAATGCTAATCAGCAGGTCCTCCTGTAACTGAGAGATTTCTCACTGTCCTAAAGTTAAGTGGCTTTTACCTCCTACCACTGTGGGAAGCACTGAAATAACGCTACTGGGCGACAGATCCCAGAGTCCGCAGTGCCAACGTTCCTTACCTGAAACTTGGGAACAGCAGCAGGTTCATTCAGGGATAGCTTGCCTTCAGATACATCAGTGGAGAGGTTGCATAATTGAATTTTGTAACAAATCCCCCTTCTACATTTGCAAATCATAAAACAGTATCAAGACTTTTACAAATGAATATGTGTAAGGAAATAAAAAGAATGTTGAGTAACTTAATGCCCTTCTCTGCACTGAACTGGATGGCAATTATACATTATTGCAGATTCCTGTTTAAGGCTGAGACCTTGATTAGCCAGACTGCCCCTAAGCAGGGTAGGCACTTCTCTGGTCTCTATGATCTGCGCAACTGGATTTTCTCCCCAGTGTGTGCAGTATAGGAGCACAGGTGGAAGTAGATAATGTCCTGAAGTTCATCAACTAATCATGGAAGACAACAAGGTGAAAATTATTTACTTTCTTGCTTTAAAGAAAGAGGGTGAGAGTGAGGAAGGGGGGATCAAGTGGAAATAGTTAAGCAGTACATGCTTAATCTTTCACTGCTGTAGTGTTGTGTAAGAGTACAGAAATTTCATGTGTTTTACTTTACTTCCACAGGAAGTTTCATGTTTGTATTTAATTTCTGGGAACCCAAGGGCAAAGCAAAGCAATTAACATGTTGAAGAATTAAAAATAAACTTCAGAAGCTTCAAGTAAAATACCTTTAGCTGATTAGTGTTACAATGCATCTTTAATGAGAAATAAATGAGGATTGCATTGTTTCTTAGGATAAGGAGAGCTGTTAGATATCTGCATTGATAATAGAGGGCTTAGAAATAATCTGTGAGCTGCTTTTCTAGAAGAAAAATAGGAAACTTCTACATGGCTTAGTGCACAGATAAGAAAAACAGTGAAACAAACACATTGTACAAGTTCTTTCCGTAAAAAGCTTATTGCAAGGTGATTTTAACATAGTCCTGTCGTTCTTTGGATTGTTTAGACTCACCCCTTGGTATGTATCCATGTTTCTCTATTTTTATCCAACTGCTAGTTTTTCTTAAACTCTGATTATATTACAAACTGATTTGTATAAAAAGTGCAGGCTGTAAAATGTAGACTTCTGAATGACCCACATATAAAAAACTATCTCCACTTGTACCCACAACAAACAAAATTCTATGGAAAACAAGGCTCAGAAATACTTTACAAAGTATTTCTTTACAGTTATCCTGTCATGGCTGTGTACGAAATAAAGGGAATATGAAAAGTCCTTTGATTGGTAAGATTGGCAGCATCTATGTTTTTAAATCAAATGATTTTTAAATATGCATGAATTTATTGTCTTGGTTAAGTTGCTGCACAGTAAAAAGGAATGCTGTTCTCTGAACAATAATTGGGTCTGTCTCAACTCTCAAATTGGGTCACAGTAAACAGACAGAATGCCCTGGTATTTCTTTCTCTTTTACCTTGTTTCTTGGAAAAGTGATTGAAACTGTAATCATTATTGCATTGAGGCAGTATACTAACAAAAAACAGTGTTTATCATGAATGATAGATCCTCTTCTTTTGTCCTGTTTTTGATGGTATTGTATTGCAGAGCACCTTAAAGAACAATGTAGAAATCTGCAGTCTTAAAAAAATATGCTGAGATGCACTGAATGAGTACAGCAATCCCAGTTATTGCTGGAGTTTATTTTTGGTAATAACCACTTCACCTTCTGTATGGGACTGTAGTAAAATGAAATAAATTTGAATTATTAATACACCATTCTACAGTCATCATATTCCTAAATATGCCAAATAACATTCTAAATATCCCCAAAAAGGACTGAGGGTGGGGTGAAGGTGACAATACTGTTCTATAAAGCTCATGTGCTACATCACTTCTCTGCAGTTATATCTCCAATTGCTTCAACAATTAAAAAGGTTGGGAAGAGCTTTTTAGAAGGTTGTAGCTGTTACCTTGTGAGCCAGAGCAGGAATGCTGTGAATTAGCCAGGCCTTTTTATGGAAATATGTGCACCCAGAAAAAGGTACCATGTGATCTCTGAAGGATCCTCTGCCTGGTGTGAAAAAAGTGACCACAAGGGCAGTCGGGGAACTTTCCTCTATGGGACACATAAATGTACAATATTTACAATATTATACACAGCTGGTATTTATGTTTTTGATAACAGTGAAAATGTATTGATATTGAACTGCTGTGAGTATCCAGCACAGGCAAAAGAGTTAACAGCCTGCAGGAGTGTCCCCTAGTCCTCAAAAGTGTCAGGAGAGGATGCTACCAGCTTCAGCCAAGGAGGGCAGCCAGTAGCTCAACAGTGGGTTGTTTCCCACTTCGGTTTCATTTCTTACCTATGTCTTCATCTTCTGACTTCATGGGGTGACAGCTCAGGCCCTCACCTCTTGCCTGCTGCCCCAAGCTAACTGAACTGAGTTACTTTAGGAATCCTGGGAAGTGAACCGCACGGATTAGCACAGTAGGGACCTCTTCAGCCCTGGCTTTTGCTCCTGCAGGACAGGATGAATCCCCCGGTGCAGTTACCTGTCTCCAGCTACAGTCTCTGGTTGGCCAGAGTGCGAAAGCAGCTTTTACACAGCTGAAGCAAAGTAAGGTGGCCCTACCTTCTCCTCATTGGCTTAGAGAGAGCAAGACTCAGAACTAATAAAAGAGTGAGACTAAGTTCAGCTCAGACTTTGTAAACAAAGTGACAGAAGATTCATTGTCTTTGTGCTGTGTTCTTTTATCTTTGTCTCACATGTATTCAAATACAGTCACTGGTGTCCTACCTGGAGTGCTGGTGACACGATTCAGGAAATCCCTGGACAGGCAGGTTGCCCTGTGCAGGGCTGAGGATCTTGGTTTGTTAGAGCAGTATTAACTACCTTTCTGTATTGCTGTGTCTTTTATATATGGAAGAAGGTGAGAAAGATTTGAATACAGATAATGCCATTACCAGTTAATTTAAAAGGCCAAATTGTGGTTTTCAACAATGTTAGACCTTTCTAAGCAATGTTTGAGAAAGATAATGATATATTTAGAAAATGGATGTTTCAATTTCTGGCTGCCCAAAAGTGACATGACAGCATTATAAATTTAAATAGAATGAGGCTTTAATGGATCTCCTAGAGAAAAAAAAAAAGGAAAAAGACAAAAAAAAGGTGTTTATTAGTAGAAATGTACTAAACTATCTGCATTTGACAAAGTGCTAGTGGAGAAAATTACTTCTAGAGAAAAAAATGAAAATGTCAGTTAAAAAAAGTAGGCTGAGTTGTGGGTTGTGGTTTTGCTTTTGGTGTTTTTCAGTTGTTTTGTTTTTTTTTTTTTTTTTAAATCCTGAAAATAAGTGCTGGGTATGTTTTCTGTGTTGCTTGAAAAGCTTTTGATTTGTCTGTGTTGCCTTAGTTCTGTGAGTGTTGGGGGTTTTCTGAGGATGCCCCTTCTGTATCTGCTGCTGCACAGGTATATTTCATTTAGGCTGGAAGCTAGTTTAATATGCTGGTCTAATGCTTTTTCTCTATTATATGTTTTGTTTTTTCACTTTATTTAGGGAGCATTTTCAAATGAAGTGTCCACAAGCACAGTGCCTGCAGTCTAAAGCGCCTGGCTTTGCACTTCCATGCATGCCATGATGTGATGTTTTCTATGTCAGCAGAGACATCCCTAGTAATTGCAGAATACTAGTGAAGTGGAAATTCCCTCTTTACAATTTTCTGATGCTTTTCTCCCTGGTGACTGGGAATCCTGAGGTGCCAGGTAATGTCAGGGTTTGCTTGGTAGGCACGCTGGGAACTGCTGTGTGTGTGAAGATTGCCCTTGCTCTAAAGAATATTGCTGTGTTCAGCTGGAGTCTGCACAGAAAGGCTCAGGGAGGACATGAAGAGAAGCAGCTTTTTCTCAGTGTTAAGCAGTGACACGATGAGTGTGAGCCTGCAGGGACAGACACACACTTGTGCCATGACACACAGGGAGAGCTGAGCCCTTCTAAGCAGTGAAATGTTTAGGTTTTACTGCTGCTGTTTGATTTGCTTTCACTATATCTGTCTTCAATTTTTTGTCTCATAGCAGAATAAAACCAGCTATCTGAGGATAATGGCTGAAAAAAATAGACGCTAGGAACCAAGCTGCTGAGCTAAGAAAGGTAAGAAGAGAATCATCAGGCAGTGACCATGGCACAGGCTGTCTGCAAACAGAAATGGCAGGGAAGACTTTACTTCTGCCAGTGTAAAAAATGTGATGAAGTTTCAATGAGACATGAAGTGTTTCACTTCTGTTTCTAATCTCCAGGAGCTGAATACCGTAGGCCTATAAAAATATTACCTCGATTAAAACCTGAAAGACGAGATACTGGACCCAAATGCACTAAAGGCAAGCAGCAGACAAACAGTGTACTCACGTCTTAATGACTTTTTGAGAAAGTCCAGAAATAGTGTGTTCTTAAATCTGTTTCTTACACTGAAGTTGGCAAACCAGGATTTCGCTCAAAGACTTTGTTCCCAGTCATTTGCCTCATGTTCATAGGTCTCTCCCTCAGACTGTACTTAATTATGTAGTATTTGGTTGCCTTCACAGGTTGCTCTGGTGTTCTAATTTGAATTTTCCTCATTTTATTAATAAGAGTCATCGAGGTTTATCTCATCGTTTTAGCAGCCTAAGAGAAACCAAAATGAACTATAGTCACTTGATGCTTCTTAATCTCTGCCCAGCCTCTTGAGCCCACAGCAACACAAGGACTCCCTTGCTCTCTTGTTTTATCAGCACTTAGAACTTAGTGACATCTTGCTTTAAAGTCATATACTGACACTGACAGAGAGTTACAATTACCAACCCTGCTGGAGGTACCAAAATCATGTCTTCAACATCAAAAGATGTTGTTTTAAATTATAATTAGGGTCTCCATGGGTGAATTGTTTCATAATTTAACGTATTTTATTTTACTTGACATAAACAAGATAAGGCACCGTGACAGCAAGGACCTCTGCCATTTCAAATTAGTTAAAGCATCAGTATTAATTCTAAATTAGCTAATTACACTTAGAAAAGTGAGGAAACACTATTAGTCATTTATGATGGTAAAAAAACACATTCCCAGCTTATTTTTGTAACTTTTTACTACATAGTGGAATCTCTAGCCACAAACTATGGTTAAATATCCTTCCCATGATTGTATTATATGGCTTTAAAATGTTTCCTCATTTTCCACATTCTACTGAAAATGAGACTGTGAAAATATTCAGCTAAGGAAAGGCAACTGAAGAATAAAAGAAAAATCATTTCCTTTCTCTCTTAATCCAACATTACCTCTGCTCATGGGCCTGCAGTCCCCAAGTGGCCCTGTCCAGCTGCAGGTACAGCCACTTCACTGCTGCAAGGCACTGCTACAGAGGTGATTTTACAGTCTCAGAAGTTCCACAAATCAGTCTTGAAGGAGACTCCTTGATAAACTGTTGTGACTAAAATGCAATTAAACTGACTCTTCAGCACAGCATTTGATACCTCTCACCATATTTAAATACCTGTAATACCCTCTAGGGAACACTGTTGTATGTGAGTACATACATAAAACATGATAGAATGCATTAATGATGCTCACAGTGTTCCTCCCTCTTCAGGTGCCAAAGCTGCACCAGCTCCAGATCCAGATAACCCATGGCCTGGATTGTAATGTGTTCAGCTAAATACTTAAAACCCCAGCAGGTACAAGTTAATTACATGAAGACTTTATTTCCAACAAATTAGATACACTTGCTAAAAAAAGAGGTGGATTGCAGCATGTAAACTATTTCATAAATTTGTTTTTAAAGACTTACTGCAGTCAAGAAAACATACTTTTTAGGGTTTTCAATATTCTGTAGCATTCTGTACTGTCTTACAGTAAGGCATTCTACATTGCATTTGGAAATCAAAGCTCTCCACTTGTCTAGGAATCAACAAAGTGACTTCTGATTACAGTATTACAGATATACAGAATATTCTCCCCAAGCAATTATTCCAACTTCAATAACTAGAGCCAGAATATATGCTAATTGAATGGTAGTGAAATTTCAAAACAGAAATAGTTGTTTCACCTTTAGTTTCTGTCAGTGACATTTATATCAGCCTCATTAGACTTTTCATTATATAAAACTATATAATGGAAACTATAAAACTATATAACATTATATAAAACTTTGTAAGAGATATAACAGAAACCCAAGCTGTGACTGCAAACCAGAATGTGTCTGCTCTCTGTTGCTCCTGGCTCTGAAGAGCTAAGAAAGTAAAGTGTGGGAAATGGGAGAAAATATGACACCAAGGTAACAGGAAATGATCCAAAAGTTGCTAAAAGTCAGCAGGAGTCTGCTGATTTCACATTTTTTGAGCTTTATTTCTGTAAAAATGTGTCCCATTCATATTGTTCAGGAGGTAACAGAAATTACTAAATTTATTAATGTTTTTTTAAAATACCCTCTCAAGTTTAATGGTTATACAGACACCAGTTTCTCTGTAATAAGAAAATATTATCCAGGAGCAAAGCAAAAATACTCAGAACTGTACTTTTCACTGACACATTACCATACAGCTCTGCTCTTCTCCCATACTCCTCATAGGTCTCATTTTCAAAAAGAAAAACATGTCAACAACTTCCTTGTTATTTAGGACAACAACAAACTGAGAGCTGTTCTGGGACACTGCAGTCAGAAATCTGTAGTTCGGCTTGGGGAAACTTTATGAAACTGTTTATATTTATCTAATATGGAAACACATATTTTGACACAGCCTACTTTTACTTAGCAAGCATATCCAGCAGCTCCTTCTCTATACCATGGCTGCCCAGTTCAGTTAAACTGCAGTATCTGTGCACCACCTTCTCCTCTGTCACAACCACCACTCGAAGGCCGTGTGTATCCTGTCCCAGCTGACATCCTATAGCTGATGACACCACCATTTCCAGGCCTTTGTAGGACCCTCCAGCATTCCTATGGTAATGCCCAGAAAAGACAGCTCTAATGCCTGTTTAAAAAAAAAAAAAAAGAAAGGAGTATGTATTTAGTTAGCACCTTACAGGTGTCACATTTACTTTCATTCTTTAATGGCTCATCAAGCATAAAGTTAACATTAAACCATTTACCCAAACTTGCATTTTAAACAAATAATTAGTAAATAGTAGTAAATAATTCTAATAGTAATAAGTAATTAATCAAACTTCATTGTGCTCTACCAGCTGTGTTTAGGGTTACTGGACTCTTGAGTTCTTTATGCCCACTGCAAGATGTGTTTGTTGTTTCTCCACTCCTTTGTCTAGAAAGGACAGTCCAGAAGCAGCTGATTAAAATGAGATACCTGCCTAGAGAATGATGGGACTGAAACACAGGTTGAAAGGAGCAGAGCTGTATTTGTCAATCAGCGTGAAGAAAATTTACTAAGGAGAGCTTAAACCTGTACACCCAAGGCCAGTGACCTTAACAAAATAAAGGGGGCAAGACAAACAAAAAACATACATGAGAAAATAAGCTGTAGTCATTTCACAAGACATTGAAGGTATTGCAGATTGAACAGAGCCAGGTGCATCAAAGAAATCTAATAAAGCAGAAGAGGTTGTGAGTTTTAAGAAGAGGGGAAGGAGGAGGAGCAGCCAGGAAAGGAAAGGTTGACACCTGCAAGAGTCAGGCTTGGAATGACATGAATTAACATTTATCAGGTACGGGGGCAAAGAAGGAAGGTTGGCTCTGATTACCCTCTGTATTTTTAATGACTTAAGGCTGTTCTGTTTCCTTTTTTTAAAAACATAGATTACTTGTATTTTGGATTTTATTGAAGTAAAAATATGGAGTTTTTACAGAAATTCTGAAGCAATTTGAAATTAAATGAATTGTGTCATCCTCACCTCCAAACCGGTAATCACTACTTTTTGTTTCCACTGTCGTGCAAACATAAACAAACAAATGGATAGAACTGTACTCCTTACTCTGAATGGCCTTTTTGATTATCTTTACAAGTCAGATTCATGCTGCCAAACAGATGATGTTCCCCTCTCCATATCTGATAAATTTTAACAGATAGGTTTTACTACTACAAAATGATGAAATGCCCTTGAGTCTGGGTTAAAAAAAAAAAGTCATCTTGCTGCTAAGAACTTCTCTTTCCTGTCAAAGTCTGCAAACCCCCTCACAAGAGAGCTGAGAATGCAGCTTCCTCCCCAAGAGAGAATGTTCTGCCCTAGACAATGCTTTTCAAAGCATTCTCAGCTTATTCCACCCTCCTTTGCCATTTAGCCTTTCCATGCTCTGCCCCATAGTACAGCTGAGCACCACACTGAACAGCATTTAGATTTTGGTAAAAAAATATTCATCAGTTTTCTTGCTAATTTAAGGTAGTGCATATTTTATTTTGAATGGAAACGTGGAGTTAGTATAAACAGCTCATTTTACAAACAGGATTTGGGATTATGTTTTGGCAATCTTAGTTTAAGGTCCTTAGACTTTTGGTCCAGAATCCTACAGCTTCCTGAAGCTATATCTAATGCTACTTTATAAGAGAAAAATTACTGGACCAGAGGGCTAAAAACACTGGAAATTTTGTTGGCAGGCCATTTGTGAGACATTACAACCTTAAATGACGTTTAAAAAATAAAAAGCTAGCAACAACTGATTTTGCCTTCATACATTAGAAACCCTGGAAAATAGCAGAGGCAATTTAAAGCCAGAGAGGTGTAATGAGGAACGTGCTACAACTTCACATGGAAATCCTTATTCCTTTAGCCAGGAAAAACCTTCCACGTTTTCTCCTGCAGTAGATTTAGACCTCTTTCACAGAGATAAAATGAAAGAGAAGTATGTGAACCCATCTTAAGACAGCTGGCTAACATCAATCCTTTGCTTTTGTGGGAGTGAATGATCTGAAGACTGATATAAAATACATAAACTTGGCTCAAAGTACAGTTAAAAATTCAGCAGCTTGGAAAGCAAAATATAAATTATTCTGCTGTGTGTCTGGTAAGAGCTACATGGGCTTTCATATTTCAAATCCAAGCCCTTCTCAAACAGCAAATGCATCAAGGTAGAAAAAGAGAATGAAGCCACCTTGTCACTGAGCAATGGTACATGGGCCTTGTCAGCTCCAACTTGTCTGTTCCTCAGTTTTAGTGTAGCAGGGCTGATTATCCTGCTGCTGGAACCACTCCTCTGGCTGTTGCATGAGGGACACTGGTGAGTAAGACTGCAGGACAACTTAGGGAGCTTGCCTGGACTCAGATGCACAAACCCAGCAAAACTGGTGAAGTGTTTTTGTATCTTGGGATGTAAAAAGGGAGTTAGTGTCCCTTAAAAGGTAGTGGTGGAGTACAAAAGTCAGTGATGCTGTTACTGTAACAAGGTAACAAGGCCTTTTCAGGATTTTCCACTTCTTCTGCGGGTAAGCAGAACAATTTTAGTCTATGAAAAAATTAAGAACAAGTAAGAATTGTAAAGTAATAGTGAGGTGCAAACTCATGTGACACACTTTTAGTAACAGAAGTAAGTATCTGAAAGGGAATCAAGTTCTGTCTTTTTACTGGAAGAATCTGTGTCCTAAAGTAGCATCTTCCCACCATCCAGAGAAGTTAACATTTCAATTTAAAATAGGAAAAGAAGCAAAGACTTTCCATCATCATATATGTAAACCAAACCCTGACTAAGTGTAATTAGAAGGACAGAGGATACAAAAGTCATAAAGGAACTGTAGTTATGCTAAAGAAAAAAAGTTCCACTTATCTGATAATTCAAGGAAAGATTCTGAGAAAACCATCCTAGACAGAGACTGATATCAGTAAAAATTTTTTCCCAGACTTCAGTTTTCAGATACCCTTTAGTGCTAGTATTAACTCTTGTTATTGCTGTGTTACAGGATGTTACACCTTGAACAAGGAAACAAACAGCTCACTGCTGTATTGACAGGAGGCTCACTGATGGGGTTTTTCTGCATGAGCACTTTTCTGTTCACTCAGCTGTACTGCACCCACTCTGTGAGTTCACACAAGGAAGAAAGCTGAACCTTTCACAGCAATAATACCAAGATGACAAGCAGGCAATTTACTTTGCTCTTGCTTTTGATCTTTAACATAAAAAGAATCTTAGAGATTTATGCACTCAAATTTAATTTATTAATTTCAGATGTTTTTCTGAAGTAATAATATCATGTTGCTAGCAACAGACACCCTCACTGCTTCCTCCTCATCCCCCCCAACTCTGCGAGCAAAGAACAGTGTCCTGGCAGATCTTGTTTTTATAGGCCACTTTAATGTATCCCCAGGTCAGTTATATGCATCCAGCTATACACTAAAACATACAGTCCCTTCCTACTACAACAGAAGAAAAAAGGTAGAGCAATGACTTTGTTTTTATTGTTGCATTTTCAAATAGCAGCTGGAAGAAGCATTGATATAAAAGCTGTATGAAATACTAAAAAACTCCCGTGTAAATAAATGTCCAAAGGACAGCACCTTCACAAGCATTCATTATTTAATTTTTTTATGAAATATGAAATGATTTGAATTTAAATATGACTGGATGTTTCACAATATCCATTTACTAAAAAAAGTGGGATCCATTACTGCAAGACACTATTCATACCTAATGGATTATTCATTAAAGAAAAAATGTATTGAAATCAGAATAAAGTAAAAAACTGTGGAGACAGTTATGCTAAAAAAAAAAAAGCAAAACAATCCACACATCCTGTCTCTGTGATCATCATCATCATCTGATGTCAGACTGCATAACAACATGACACAGATTACAGAGTATCTGATAAGGAAAAAAGGTCTGAACTGCCAAATCAGTTTTTTATCAGGACAGGACTGGAAGCCAGAGATACAGGGCAGGCTCCACCCAGTGCTGGGTACCAGGTTTTGTCCTGTCTGTGCTAAAACTTTACTTGGGTCAAGAAAACACCTAAACCCACTGAGCTTCATGCCTGCTACCAAACATGAGTTTTATGAATCAGTCAATATGCGAAAAAAGTCAGTGTCTTTGTAAAAAAAGGTTTAGATATAGGAATTGCTTCCGATTTTAGTAAACCAAAGCTGTTCTCCTGCCATGCAATTTAACATCATTTTCTGATCAAGCACAAAATGTCCTTTTTAGTTCTGATCTAAAAAAGCTGAATCTGAAAGAAAAAAAAAATTTTCCTTTTCCAAAGATCTGATGATAACTCTTCTTCCCTTGAGAATAATGCATCACTACTGAAGAATGAAATACCTATTTTGGTACAAGTTGTTTGAGCCCAGAGCAGCACACCTAGCAAAAATAATTCATGATGTAACAACAAACCAAAAAGGATTGTTCAAGAGTCATGTGATGAGATGTAATACTTAAATATGTTGATAAGCCTTAGACTTTTCATCAGCTCAACCATGAAACAAGCATACAAACACTTTGGTTTTATGCTAATTCACAGACTGCACTATGGCCCTTGGGGCTGTAAGGCCACAGAGCACCTGTGGCAAGGCAAGATGGGAGTGCTGGGGAGGGGAATTACCAACTCAAGCAGTTCAGCATGCTGCCTTTGATGATACCTGTTTCATAGTCAGAATCTTTACAGCACAACCCAATTTTAATAAAATTTAATGTTTGAATTTTGATAGTTTTTTTCAAGTCAAAACCACATTATAAAACACTTGACTCATGGTTTCTACTGCAGACATTTTTCAAAAGGAAATCAAAAATGGCTCTGATAACTTTCCTCCCATCTCTTGTTTCCTGTGTCTGCTTTCTAATGCCAGCTCATCAAATAAATAGTAGAGCTTCACCAAGCTCTTGTTGATTTGCATCTTCCTCACTTTAACAGCTTTGGGAAGTTGGACAATTTTTACCAGCACTTCTCAGCTTTACTTTTTCTGTTGGTTCTCTCTCTTGGCTTTATGACCCACACCAGCACTATGTATTAAAATGTGCTTTTCTTACAGAGAGGGTGTAACAGGTGCTGTTCCACTGCCTCACTGACCTGATAAGAAAAGGTGTCAACACAAGTGTCTG